TATGGACTCTGCAGGGTTTTTAAAGCTCAAATTAAAACAATTCCAGTTTAAATGTCTTCAAAATGCATTCTGAAACACAAAATATAAAATATTTTGATGTATATAGTGGTAATAATTAAATATTTCCTAAGTATCGGCAACTTCCGCCATTAAAAAGGGGGCGTGGCCCACGCCATGTCGAAATTAGGCTGAGCCACCTTATGGTGATATGGGTCACTGTGACAAGTGTAACAAACGTGAGACACGACCTACATCAATGAAACTTGGCACAGATATAGATCAATATATAATGCTCATACAGATTTAATAAAAAAGGACCTTATCTTATTATTTCACAAAAAATTTTGTATGCGAAGATGCCTTATATATACCAAAGATTTTCAAAATAAAGGTCGATTGAAAAAAGCAAAATAGCTGGCTAGAAATGTAGGCCAAGATGTCTTCCAAATTATAAGGCCGGAAACGGAACTCAAATATATGTGGAAAGAACTAATTTAATAATAAATAGACACATACATCGGAAAATTAAAAACTCGGATTTTTCGGCGCCGACGCCCATTTCCGATACAAAAAAAATAGTAGTCTCCCTTGTTTCATCGAAGTATCTAGTCAACTGAGTTTGTAGTGGACTGGACTGCAATTAAAATTTAAACTTCATAGTCATAGCCTAGACTAACTGAACCGACTAATGAGCCTATTCCCAATATGCATTGTGTAATAGAATATAGAGAGCATTACTAGGTACTTCGGTAAAGCAAGGGCAAGGGACACAGCTAAAATATTTGTATGTGAAATGGGCGTCGGCGCTAAAAGCCAAAAAGCGCAATAGAGTTTTAAATATTTTATTCAGTGTAATTTACTAAAACTGGAGTCTTTTTGGCCCATAAATAAGGTCTGAATCCACCCATTCACATAAGGTGTTAGGAGAAATGTTGGCCTACATTCCCATGGCCCATTGAGTTTTTGTGTTCTTTTCTATCAACTGTAAGTGTAAGTGACTAAGTGAGGAAAAATGTATTTCAATATAATATAAGGCATCTTTCAACCAAAAATGTTATAGAAATATTAAAAGTATGTCTTTAATACTAATTGTGTGTCAATGTCAGCACAATATATTTATTTTTACGGACTGTATACATACATGTGCAAAATTTAATTACGCTCGTGTCGCTAGCTCATGAAATTTTTTCACTCGGCAATGTAGACCTCATTATGCAAAGGCCACACATGCCATCTTGGATTTTTTACCATGCCTCCTTTTCAATGGCAGAAGATGCAGATGCTTAGCTTACTTCAATTAGTACCACTGTATACATCAACATATTTAATGACTTGTGTTTCAGAATGCATTTTGAAGACACTTAAACTGGAATATTTAAATTTGAGCTTTAAAAACCTGGTTGAGTCCATATAAATTTCAGAATTTTCCGTGTGCAAAATGTTGTCATGATGGGCAAACATTCACAGCCCCTTGCAGCCTTGCATAATGGCTATTTCGTAGTACTATCTCAGAGTTTCATTCATAAGAGTTTGCCGTGTGCAAAAACTATTAAACCATTGGCCAGGGAAAGCTTTAATTAATTATTCATGTGCCAAAGTTGTAAGTTTAAATTAAGTCGAACCTAAACAGTATTTTATTAAAGGGATGCGTTGCCTTTTAGATTATATAGACCATATTTTTTATACTGGTATAATGGACGCTTTAGACTTGGTAAACAGAAAAGCCATTTATTAATATATTTTTATTAAATTTAATGAAATTTATTTAACAATAAGCCACAATTAATTTATAATTGTATAACATTATTAAAATTATTTTATTAATATAACATTAATTTTGAAAATAAATGTTGCATAAAATTATCATTAAAACAAGAGTTATTGTGCACGATACGATCAATGGAATGGGGTCACATAATGTGGAGGTGTAGTCAATAGTAAAAAAATACCAAACAAACTCGAACTTAAAAAATTCGTAGCCGAAAAAGTGCTAAAGCTAGAATGTTGATTCTGGTTTCATTTTTTTCGTTGAAATTTGCTCTATAATCTTAATATTTAATAATTTTTTTTTACTGTATGAACTAGTTAATTGGTAGAAAGAAATTAGGCCTAGAGTTAAGAGTCCTACTAAAAACTAGGAGAAATTAGAGTATCACACTAGGCACTTTGGTAAAGTAAGGGAGACTACTTCAAATATTGTATGGGAAAGGGGAATCGGCATAGAAGAATCTGAGTTTTTAATTTTTTAACGTAGATGCTTTTTGATTTATGAAAGGTCTGTTTTGTCATAAAATTGTGGGTACCGGTATTCATCAATACTGTCCACATGTTTGAAGTAGTAGACATCTTGGTCTATATTTTCATTGTTGTTTTTTGCCTTTTTAATCGACCCCAATATTAGAAATTCTTAGGTATATATAAGGCATATTTCGCTACAAAATTTTTGATGAAGTTAAAAATTATATATGTCTTTCAGATAAAATTTTCCTCTGCATTATATAATGATGTATGTATAGATGTGCCAATTCTCATTGAGATAGGACATGTTGGTCTTAAGTTATTGTCGACCAAGTAACCTGCATTATCATACTCAGCCCAATTTTGACCACACCCTCTTTTTAATGGCGGACGATGCCAATACTCATGAAATATTCAATTTATTACCACTATTCCAATATTAATATTTGATAACTTGGGGTTTAGAATGCGTGAAACAAGCATATATTTATTTGTGGTTTAAAAACCAAGTAGTCTCCTTATCATAAATTATCATAATTTGCAGTGTGAAAAAACTATTAAATCATTGATCAGGCAAAACTTCAATTACTTGGTCATGCAAAAGTTGAAAGTTCAAAAGAAGTAGTCCCAAACAAGTATTATTTTTAAGCTAAGTCTTCCATTTAGATGTTCTATCCATATCATATTTATTAAATTGAATGATAATATTGCATAGCTAGATAAGTTAAACTGTATTTATAATTGCATGATTGTTAAAAATTAAAGTTAATATTTTAATCCTGAAAATAAAATAATGATCACTTCAACAAGACTTATAGTGCGTGACACGATCAGTGGAATAGGGTTACAAAATGTGGAAATGCAGTCCTTTGTAAAAAAAATACGAAACGAACACGCACCTTAAAAATTCATAGCTGAAAAAGTACTAAAGCTAGAAAGTTGATCCTGGGTCTATTTTTACTTTGTACTATAATAAGGTCCAGCTAAAGAGAAATTTTGGTTAGGGACTACTTATTTTGAACTTTCAACTTTTGAACATGACCTACTAATTAAAGCTTTCTCTGACCTATGGTTTAAGTTTAATGTTTGCGCACATCAATCTCTAATGAATGAAGCTCTAAATATATAGTATAGAGAAATGAAAGTGACTGATGAATGGTTGCCCATGACCACAGCACTGCACACTGTAAATTATGATAGTTTATAATATGGCCTCTACCAGGGTTTTAAACATAAAATTGAAATAGCACTGTTTAAATGCTTTCTAAGTTCATATTAAAATTCAAGTTACACTGCTCACACATAGACACATCTCTCTCTTTTAAAACACTTTGAAAATTGTTACACTTCTAGGTCAATATATTCTCAAGGGGTATTATAAAAATGAAAAGGACATATATTTAACTTAATCTTAATGTTGAAAGATGAATTATATTAACCAAGGATTTTCTCAAATTTGACTGATTGTAAATGAAAGAGAAATTGATTGAAATGTAAGCCAAGATGTCCTCCAAAGTGAAAGGATGAAAAAAACAGAATGATTGTGGGTACTGATACCCATTTCCCATACAAATTTTATATCAGCTTCCCTTGCCTTACCAAAGTGCTCAATTAAGTGCACTATATCTTTAGTATTCTTTAGGCCTACTTTGAGTTTATGTCTTGAAAGTTAAGTTCTTACTTTTAACGCCCCTGTTATTGTTTTCATTGAAAGCAGAACAGAATTAATAACTGTTAGTACTCTTATTCCTGTGCAGCCCTTAACATTAAATTGACAAACTCTAAGCCTTATTCTTGAATTCCTCCACTCATCAGTTTTCATAATAATACAATTTAGATAAATATGTAGACCAAACGGTTTTTATGTTATCATTTCTTCAAGAAAAAGGAAGCAAAACCAGTCCTATCTAGGGTATGGCTTAAAATTGCCTCTGTTGCCTCAGATTCAGTCAGTTCAAATAATATTTTCTTAATATTTTTCTGGTGGTGAAATGACAACATGGGTCATTAAATAAAATATTTGTGTTTCAGAAACCTATTATGCTACATGGACATGAAAGGTCCATCACTCAAATAAAATATAACCGAGAAGGTGATCTCATCTTCTCTAGTGCTAAGGATCCACAACCCAATGTTTGGTATTCACTTAATGGAGAGAGGCTTGGAACATTTGTTGGTCATAATGGTGCTGTTTGGTGCATTGATTGTAGCTGTATCCTTTAGCAAGTTCATATCAACTGTACTTTTTTGTTACTAATTACAAATAGGACCTATGGGGCTGTGGACATATTATATAACGGGAATGGGATATGGGACTGGTTTATCATTTTGTTATATTGTGTTGTATGGGGTGTGATGGTAGAGTACAATGTTTATAGCAATTCTTTATTTTTTGGGGGTTTTATTAATATTTCTTTTATCAAAATTTCTGCTTTTTAAATTTACAGAGTTACCCTAAATTTAACTGCAATGTATTTTTGATTGCAAAAATTAGCTCATTTCAGTAAAAAAAAAAATTTTTCTGCTTTTTGCTTGAAAATTGCTTTTTTTCTAATTGTTTTGAAGGACTACCGGTAATTAAAATTATTTGAGTATATATTATTTATACCCACAACAATTACAGAAAGTTAACAACTGTACACAGCTTATTTAAATACTTAAACCAATGACTACCAACTTTTATTTTATGCTCTGAGTGTAAAATGAAGAATGGAAAGGGTGATGTATATAGATATATATAAGTGATGTATAGAGGTATACATCAATTGACAAGTGATATTATATGTATACATTGGTATGGTATGAGTGAATGAGTAAAACAACTTGCCTTAACCAAAAATTAGGGGATTCTTGCAAAGTCCTCACAGGAGCAGCTGACAACACATGTAAACTATGGGATTGTGAGACAGGTAGGCTCTTACTTATGTATTTCAAGGGAGATTTTTGCATTTTGATGTTGGGTGGGGCTGGTCTTTTAAAATAAACTTTAGAGCCATAACTTGTACATAAATAACATGTACTAAATTATCACATCACTAGAAATTAATAAAACCATATGACTTAAGTTTTGGGATAGCTGAAAACAATTTATTACCTTTCAGTGCAAATGATGAAATCTTGAAACTTAAAAAATGTATTTTCATTTTAATTTATGATCAGCTTCTATATTATGTAGATACCGGTATGTGTAATATTAAAAGATTACAAAGATTTTTTTAATGTATTGTGTTCCCTTAGTAACTTACATATATATATATATATATATGTAAATATATCAAATGTGTCCATTAAAGGTACACAGATGAACTCTCTAGAAACAAGAACTGCAGTTAGGACAAATGGGTTTTCTTACAGTGGCAATCTTATCATGTACAGCACAGATAAAACCATGGGTTGTCCATGTGAGATTTACATCTACGACATCAGGGATGGAGGACAAATGGGTTTGTAGAATCATTCTTGCTCTCTATGAGGAGTTCATAAGTTGTTCAAACAATTTAATTTGTTCATATTTTGTATTTTTTAAATATTTTTCTCAATCATGTTTTAGAAAGTACCAATTTACACACAATCACTGTTTTATGGTCTGTAAATGATTAGAATTATTTGGTGTCTTAAAAGATTATATGATTAGTGACACAATATTAGAACCTGGTTAGATGTGACTTGTTTACTGGTATGTCATTAAAACTTGGCATACCTAGTGTAAGTTAAATATCTCTCAAATAACTAATTGATTGATATTATGTGTTGTGCTATATGAAATTCTGCAACACTTATATTTTAAATTTCTGTGCAGGGTAACTACATATTTTGTAATTTTTTTAAAATCAATATTTTATTAGAATCTGGTACACCATTAGCAACGATCCCTATTGAGGGTTCAAAGATCACTTCTGCTATCTGGGGCCCTTATGAAGAATACATAATCACCGGCCATGAGAATGGGGAGATCAACCAATGGGATTTAAAGGTTGGTTTGTGTGTAATTTGTGAGAGTGGATTTGGAAGTTAAGTTTTGTTTTAAATAAAAAGAACTTTGCTTGAGTTTCTTATATTAAGTTATATTCATGTTGACCAATATTCTTTACTGTTGCTATATGGTAGCGTTTTTAACTGAAAACATTACTTACCGAATATAGTCTTAATAAAAAAATTTAAAAAAAAGTATATTATTAAATGGGGCTAAATTTTTTTTATTGGCCATTCAATTCTCCATATAAGTCACTGTGATACAAGTATACTTTTAAATGACCAATTCTGGACATAGTTACTGTAACGAAAGTATGTTTCATGAGTCACCGTTCTCCACAGACTCTGAAAAAACTTGAAAGCTGCCGTGACCACACCAAACAGATCAATGACATTCAGCCATACAAAGATTATACAATGTTTATCACTGCATCTAAGGATAACACAGCAAGGGTAAGTTAGCTAGATATACGTTTTAAATTTCAATATCAGTGAAGGAAAATCATGGCTTTCAATATGTCAGTGGGTGAACTGATAATAATTTATGCATTAAAATATTTAAAAGGCTTCATTTGTGAATAAACCAAGGTTTTACATTCATGATATTATGTACTGTCATTTTCAAGCCACAAAAATGCAGAACATTTTAAATGTGGAAAGTTCAACAATGGACTTGTCTAAACATTGCCCTCTTGTACTATTCCAGCTATTTGACATGGAAACTCTTGAGCCTAAAAAGATATACAAAACTGAAAGACCTGTCAACTCTGCTGCCATCTCACCTCTCCATGATCATGTAAGCTTTCATTAGTGGCAAGGAGTTATTTACTATAGTGGTTTGTAATGAACAAGAACAAACTGAATGGAGAATTTATCATGATAAATAAAATGGAAATGCTTGCATTGAATGAAGGTTTTCTTTACATCATCAGACTTAGTGATAAAATTAAAGTGGTCCTTACTTGATTCACTTTATAACAGTTAGTTCTTATATATACCTTGATTGTTTCAAATTTTCAGGTAGTTGTAGGCGGTGGTCAGGAAGCTATGCAGGTGACAACTACCAGCACAAGAGTTGGCAAATTTGATGCCCGCTTCTTCCATCTAGTCTTTGAGGAAGAATTTGGTAGAGTCAAAGGTCATTTTGGTCCCATAAACAGTGTTGCATTTCATCCGGATGGGAAAAGGTATTTTTCGAATTTATTGAATTTTAATAATTTTTTTTATTATTGCTTACAAATACAATTATTTCAAATTTTTTAAAATTTAAGTTCAGACATTTTGAATAACAATGGTGGTGTTAGCATTTGTTCCTATTTCAAGAAATCGATTTGAGGAGATTGATATAACCCAATTTTTTTCTCTTTTGACTCCTTGAAACAGCTATTTACTGTTTGCTATAGCAAGTAATATTTCAGTTGTCTTTAAAACTACTAACTTCACATTTTCCCCAATATTACATATTTTATAGCTGGTCATTTTTCCATTCTATTAAGTGAACCAACATTTCTGTTTACTCTTTGTTCCTCAGCTATAGCAGCGGCGGTGAGGATGGTTATGTTCGTGTGCACTATTTTGATTCCAATTATTTGGATTTCTCCTTTGAATATTAACTCTCCTTTTTGTGTATTTATAGAATGTGTAAGATCAATAAAACAAGTTTAACCACTTCAATTTTTGGTTGTTTGTGATCTTTAACCTTGGAATGAGTGATGTGATATCTGGATTAGTTATATTGAAACAAAAAAAAACAATTGTGTTTATTCATTACCTTCAATATCCATATCATTTATTATCAATATTAGAATGAGAATCAAGCAACCATCCTCATTGTTATTAATTGTTGTCTTATGCTAAAACAATAAATCACCTGGACCAAGAAATGTTGACTTAAAAATTTGCTTTAATTTGATCATGAATTACAATTTCAATTCATATACATAAAACATCAGTATGCAATTTCAGACATACTGCAGCTGTCTCATGGTTAGTTTATCAAATATATATTCCCTTGCCACATTTCTCAGCATACAAGTGCTTTTATTGTTGGATCGCATATGATAATTCCTGTTTCTCATAACACTGCTCATGTTTAAATTATTTGGCTAGCACAGACTGTGAATTAATCAAAGCAAGTCAATAAAAAAATTATTAATGCTTACTTTAAATACCGGTAATCATCTACGCAAAACAGAAAAAGCAAACTGCAGCTTGTCTGATAAATTATTCATTTAAAGTTTACTTCAAATTACTCTTGAATTGGGTTTTAAAAAAAGTTAAAATGTAATGTTAATGCTTGGTTTCTCTTCTTTCTTAGCTCCCTTCAACAGTTTTAGCAACTTAACATTTCTGTAATTTTTTAAAATGGAAAGTATATTGAGCAATTGCCGTAGTGAGCTGAAACAAAGTATATTTAAAGACTTGTATGGATATGTCGCCGATGCTTCAACTCTTCATTAATAATTACCTACTTTTGAATTTACTAATATGTTCACAGCATGGTGTTTTGTTAGCTCAATATTTACTCAAGGAATGAATAAAAATTCCTCTTATAATTAAAATGTTTATAATTAAAGTGCCACTAGTATCTCTGGATTTATAACTGACTGGTACATATCTTCATTCATGAAAAGGGTAGTTCACGTATCACTCAGAATGGAACACTGGTAGTCAGTGGTAGCATACAATGTCATAGAGCAGCGTTTCTCAACCTGTGGGTCGTGACCCCTTTGGGGGTCACGCTGCCCTTTCCCAGGGTTCGCCTAAGACCAGCTGAAAACACATATCCTTATAGCTATGAAGAAGCAACGAAAAAAATTGTTTGGCTGGGGGGTCGCCACGACACGAGAAAATGTATTAGAGGGTCGTGGCAATAGGAAGGTTGAGAACCACTGTCATAGAGCTTGTTTTAAGAATTATTAGATCTGTTGGTTTTAAAAAAAAGTTATATAAAAATTTATACATCAACATAAAACATGGTTGTTTAAATAAAGTTTGTGTACAACTTAATGGCCCATTTAAATTCGGTGCAATAATTTTAAAAAATCCAAACTGCTTATTATATTTGTGAAAAATAGAATGAAATAAAAAGAGGGCTAAAATTAGAAGATGAGAAGTTTCAAGGACCACACCTAACTCAATATTCTTACTCCATTGTTTAATATTGTCAAATATCTGACATCATGGGATAGGGTGTAGTGTAGACATTATTCTATTAAATCATTCCAGACTGAATTTTTGCACTAAATATAAGACTAAGTGTAACTGTAATGCCACATGACAGATGTATGCCAAACGATGTTAACATGTGATAGACCGACATACATGTGATAGTTATAAAAATATCAACATGTGAATGATTTAATATGAATCATTATAACACACATGTTTTTAAAGACCATAAAAACTTCTATATTGCTATCAAGCAAAATCTCACTGCCACATGTTTATTGCTGAAAGTCTTGTAAATGGATGATTTCACTGTGAGGTTCTCAAAACAATGAAAGGGGTGTGTCAGGACCCCATTGGTATCATTGCTGGATTCTATTACAATGAAAGGGGTGTGTCAAGACACAATTGGTATCAAAAGATAAATTCAAATTTAATTCAAACTGGTGGGAAGGAATTAAATATGTCCTTTAAATCTGTGGACTGCAATTTGGAAAAAAAAAGAAAAAAGTGGGAGGTATTCAGTATTAAATCAAAACAAATCTTGTTTATTATTTAATCATAAGACAGTGGGGGACATTTAGCAATATTACATAACTATTTAATCATAAAGATGGTGCTACAATAACTATACATGTGCTTTGATTTGACTTGCTTTGAACCACAGATCAATTGTAATGGATTTGATATCATGATTCATCAGGTATCAAAGGATGCTGAGCCAGGTTGATCACAGCCATTAATTTGAACATCATTTCTTTGAATAGAGAAACCATGTAATGTCCCTGGAAACTAAGTACTGGTATGTCAGGGTTAGTTTGGCAGAGATGTTTTATAACTCAGGAAAAGGTATAGGCCAAAACGTACCAAAGTGTCCTCGTTTTATAGCCATTTCAATTGTTTCTATAGTATAGTAGTTACTATCCTAGTGTCTCATTTTTATTTTACTTAGTTTACATGTTTTTAATAATTGTAAAGCGCTTAGAGCTTTAAGGTAAGCGCTATATAAAAATGCCTAAATAAATAAATAAATAAATATCCGGAGTGGACTTTCTTAATAGCAATAATGACAAATTGTAAGGAGAAAAATTATCCAACTAAAGCAGATATCTATATAAAGTTCCAAAAAGTTACAATTATTAAAATTGTATCAAATTATAAAATAAAATGTTTACAATAACAATGTCTCATATTGTAATGTCTGTTCATATTTTCAGTACATTCATGTTTAAAAAAAGAAAATGCTGGCATTGCAGGTGCTTGAAAAAAACAAATAATTATTAGTAAACAATTACAAGAGATTTGTTAAAAAAAAAAAAAAAAANTGTTCATATTTTCAGTAAATTCATGTTTAAAAAAAAAAAATGCTGGCATTGCAGGTGCTTGAAAAAAACAAATAATTATTAGTAAACAATTACAAGAGATTTGTTAAAAAAAAAAAAAAAAATGGGCACAAATCAAAATATAGACCAGTGACAACAGATTCATCAAATGTTCATTCATCAATGCAGAAATGTTTTGTCATTGTATAGTATGGTGAAAATATTGGTCTTTTATTTTAACTTAGCTTTTTTTACCAACAAAAGTCATCCAGTTAATAGTTGGCCAACAAGAAATTGTTTCTTTGTTATTCCTCAAGCTGGTTTAAGCCAGCACCATAACTAATGTGATAGGTCTAGCTACAAACTGTAACATTCGTCTCAACATGATCATATTCTGGTATAACTTACGTGATGAGTCTAGCTTTAAACTATAACATTTGTCTCATCATGTTTATCTTCTACTTTGAAAGATTTAGTTGTTAATGTATGTAATTAAAAGAAGCAACATTTATAATCAATCAATATTTATCTTCTTATTGCCTAGAAATCGATTTAAACTTTTAAATCTGATCTGTCTATAATAATTTTTATTACTAATTTTAGAAAGGCTTGTTTGACTCGAATAGAGATTTGGCTTTACTATTTGGAATCAGTGATCAGCAAAATAAAATACCTATTAAAAATTTGTCTGGTCTCCTGATCACATCAACAAGACTGTAGACGTTTCCAATATAAACTCATTACAGACAAATTTAAAAAATGAATTTGAGAAACACTGCATTAACAAAACATTACATCAATCAGGCCCCTGAACCTAACTCCATACATCAGCAGAGTAGCGTCCCTTAGATTGCAGCTTTTTTATGTAGTCCTCAGCATCAGAGGTGCTCATGTCTCCTTTAGTTGTAAGAATTTTGACCATCATGCTGTGCACATCTCTGGCCATATTTTTGGCATCTCTGTAACACAGTATGTGAGTTTAATTATTATTAGAAAATGGAGCTCATTAGCTGGGATCAATGTTGCAATGGCATTCTATAATATTAATTTGAACTCAAATCTTACAACTCAAGTCCACCAAATACTGCCCTTCTGACTAACTCAAATCTTACAACTCAAGTCCACCAAATACTGCCCCTCTGACTAACTCAAAGTTTACATCTGAAGTCCACCAAATACTGCCCCTCTGACTAACTCAAATCTTACAACTCAAGTCCACCAAATACTGCCCCTCTGACTAACTCATATCTTACAACTCAAGTCCACCAAATACTGCCCCTCTGACTAACTCAAATTTTACATCTGAAGTCCACCAAATACTGCCCCTCTGACTAACTCAAATTTTACATCTCATGTCCACCAAATACTGCCCCTCTGACTAACTCAAACCATACAACTCAAGTCCACTAAATACTGCCCCTCTGACTAGCTAAAAATTTTACATCTTATGTCCACCAAATACTGCCCCTCTGACTAACTAAAATTTTCCATCTGAAGTCCACCAAATACTGCCCCTCTGACTAACTCAAACCATACAACTCAAGTCAACCAAATACTGTCCCTCTGATTGCATCCTCCTTTTAATTCTTCTAACAAAAGCACTTGTCAAGCTTAGATACCGGGACTGACTGGAAAGGACAGCTCAATACACATGCTAGTTTATAGAATGTACTGTTTCAAGTCTACTGATTCAGTTGACAAGACTTATTTAAATTGAAAACATACTTCCCACCTAAACCAGCCTAGTTACATATTTGCATTGTTTATTAAATTTTAATAAATATTTTTGGACAACAAAAAAGAAGTTTAATATTTGAAAGCTGACTTCATGTGTCAATTTACCAAAAGACAATGGCAGGCTTCCCTAACAAAGGTTTATAATATGAATGTCTAGGATGAGATGGAGCTATTCACTGACCCACAAATGTAGATGTGTCCGTTGTTGTTGAGCACATTCCAGATCTCCTCATGATTCTGATCAATCAAGTGCTGGACATAGACCTTGTTAGGCTGATCACGAGAAAAGGCTGTATGCAAGGTGAGCACCTTCTTCTCTGCATACTTCATCATTTCCTCTTCATAGATAAAGTCAACACCTTTATTGCGGCACCCAAAGTATAGGATAGTTTCAGCAACAGGCTTGCCTAGAATAGGTCAGGTTATATACATGAACAAGTGCTATGCTTGTCTAGAATAGGTCAGGTTATATACATGAACAAGTGCTATGCTTGCCTAGAATAGGTCAGGTTATATACATGAACAAGTGCTACGCTTGCCTAGAATAGGTCAGATTATATACATGAACAAGTGCTACGCTAGCCTAGAATAGGTCAGGTTATATACATGAACAAGTGCTACGCTTGCCTAGAATAGGTCAGGTTATATACATGAAC